ATACTCGAAATCAATTTTACACCAAGAATTGTAATACATCCAATTTTTTTTCTGTCTAATTTATTCATATAACCATTCTATCAAATAGTTTATATATGTACAACTTTCTATACAACTCGCGAATATCGAAGAACTTTATAGCAAGTTGAAAAAAATATTTTGTTTTTAGAAGAAATGTGCATGGATATATTTACGGATACATTGCGGTAATTAATACACAGATATAAAGATATATTTGTGTGGGCGTGCAAGTAGATAAAATCTAACAATCGAAGTGTATCTTGGCTCTGGGGGGATAATACTTCAAACACTTACTGGAGAGTTGGCCATTTCGACCGGGAGAAGAGGAAGGATTGCGCAATTTCGAAGATGTCGCACCGCTTACACTGCTGCAGCTAGTAGCAGCTGCGTTGTTTACCGCTATAGTCGGGGCTACCCCAATATCGTCTCTTGTAACTCGTCTATCCGGCGGAGATGCAACTGCAATTTCAAAAACGAGAATAATAAAACAACAACATATAAACAATAATAAACGATTTATTAAGACCGTATTATGTGAATACACAATAAAATAAGAAGCTATACTAGTCGAAGCTGGATCTTGAGCGTTTTAAATAACTTCATGTGAATTTATACATCATGTTTATAGTCTCTCGAATTATGCGCCAAGTTGATTTTCCAGACTTAGAAACACAACTAAACTATTAGAGTAATATCATAAATTAACCTTTTTAAAAAAAGATTAAAAAAGATGCGTGCTCCTCTTAGAAAAAATCGTTATATAAATTATTATATGTGCTTGTATATATGTTTCTTGATGAAAAAAAAGACTTTCTATTCCAAACCTTTCCAAGTTATAAAAGTATAATAATTTTTTCAAAAATATGAAATCTTTAAATTGCGCCAATTATAAACAAAAAATATATTTCGTCGAAACACTAATGCTATATAACTACTTTTAAATAAAAATGAAAATAAGAGCATTTAATTGAAATTAAAAAATTTTAATATAAAAAGACTTGGTGCCGCTAACAAACTTGACTGGTCTAGCGGCGCCAATTTTTTTCTATTTATTTGAATAAATTTCCATCTTTTTTTCTGAAATTTTAAACATTTGCTAATATTTGATTAATCAATTAATCTAACATTTAATGCCTCTAACAATTCTTTCAGTTTTTGACATGAATTTTCATAAGTAATGTTCATTAATGTTAATGTTCTTCATTAAGTAATGGTTCCAGTTTTTCATTTTTCAATTTTTTGGTTCCTTTTCATGTTTTTTATCGAAATCATCACTCCTAAAGCGTTGAAACCACTCCTTCGAATGGCGTATACACCTCCACAAGTGAACTTTCAACTGCATTCTTCTTAACAATCAACAATGTAGTAAAACTTCTTGCAAATGTTGTTTTGTTGGTACAAAAGTCGACATTTTCAATCCAATAACAAAAATGTTATTTACATGTTCATCAAATGTCATATACTAAATATGAAAGTGTATAGTATTCTCAAATACAACCAAATTCTATGCATGTAATATTCATGATGACATCTTTTAAAAAACGGCGGAAACTTATTCAAACACCTAATATTAAAATTTTTTTATTTCAATCAGATCTTCATGCATCTTATTTTCATGTATTTTTGTTTCAAAATAATATAACAAAGTAATATAACATTAGTGTTTTAACAAAATGTACTTATAATTGGCACAGTTTAATAATTTCACATATTTAAAAAAAAAATATTATTAAACAGTGTATCTCAGAACGAACATTTATCCTTAAAATAACGTACTTCTGACATAATTCTAAGACAATTTTTCCTTTGTCAAAATTTTATCCGTAATTAATTAATTTTTAAATTATAACGAAAATAGTGATCAAATTACGTCGTGTACGGAAAGTAGGCAGGAGCGGCGCAATGCATCCTCCGACGCGGGCGCTCAGTTGCGCCACAAAATGCTTGCTATGTGAAACGCGTGATGCAATGATACGCACCATACACATTTCTCTTCCCCTCTCCTCTCTCTCTCTCTCTCTCTCTCCCTCTTCCTCTCTCTCTCCTTCTCCCATAAATATCGATCACATAATTAATATTTCGATGAATCGTTTTCAGCAGCTTAATTGCTTATCGTCTCATCCAATGCATCCAAATTCGATATTATACGATTTTTTAATTTCATATTTAAAATAAAACTTATGGCACATTCGATAGACTAATGCGCGAATTTCTTCGGTGCCACGGTTGTGCGCATTGTAGTGCACACTTCAGTGCGTTTAAATTGCCGTATTCGGCAAATGAAAACTGACCCTGTGTAGTGCTGAATTTGTATTCGATCAATCGAATGAACCGAACAAGTTTAAGACATATTGCATTGACATTTTTGTCAGTGCAATGTGGTGTTCGAACAAACAAAACTATTGTAATTAGACAGCAAAAAGTTGAATAAAGAACAAAATGTTGAATAAAGAAAGAACTAAAATTTTTTATTATAAATGAATTATTAGACAAATAGTAGCAATGAAATAGAAGATATGTTATATGTAATAAAAGAAGAAAAACCAAAAGATAAAAATTATGTGGATGTGAATGAATATTCGGACAAAGAAATATATAATTATATATGATAAAAAACAAATATTTTTGATGATGAAAATATTTATGTTTCATTAATTATGTTATTAGAGTTTCAAACTTAATTCTGCATTAGGTTATATCAATCCAGTGTAGTTCTGCACTTGCATCATCAGGACAGAACTAGCACTGTGCCTATGAACCGAATGTGTCATTAGCTAATGAAATGTCAAATAATAGATTAATAAATTTTTTATTTAAATATAAAAATTGATTATATTAATTATTATATCATAAAAACGGCTGTTAAATTAAAAGATTATATTACATAAATATTGTAAAAAATTATATTTTTATAATATCAGTATTATTATTGTAACAATTAAAGAATTACAATTTGTAATATTTCTGGAATATTACAGGCATATTACTGACTTTTGCAGGCATATTGTTAATTTCTCTAATATTACATTGCAATCTGCAATATTGCAACATTGTAGCATATTTCTTCAATCTTCTGTGCTGTATAATATGTATTATAGCGTTTCATGCACATTTGATCGATTTACGAACGAATTTATCAGTTCATCATTATTATATACTACCGATTAATTATTTAGCGAGAATTAAATCTAAGAAAGAAATACATATATAGTAACTAACATTCAGAAGTTTTCTTCCTTTTATAAATTTCATCAATATGTACCAATATATTCACGGATTTAACCACGTATTTCATTGATTTTTGACAATCTATTAGCTCACTACTTAATCACTGCCAATTAATCATTCGGCAATTGAGAATTATTACAAAGAAGGGAACATTGCACAATCAAATTTCATCGTAAATCAATATAGCCACTGATTTATACAAGTAGTTGAACGACAAAATGAGGAACTTATTATTAATTTTATTACTAACTTTATTAATCACAATTACTACTGATTAATTATTCGACGAGTTAAAATTATTTAAGCGAGTTATCTGGAGATACTGATAGTGTCTCGGTGCTAAGCTACGTGCAGCGACACTGCCATGGCTACTTTACACCAGCCGACGAGTTGTACATATGTTACTCAACACGGAGGTTCGATGTAAACAATATATTGAATGTATTGAATTGATACTATGCCTTAGTTATTAGTAAGAAGGATAAATGACACTTACAGCGCGTTATAATCGCGAACATGAACGCACTTCGTGCAAATGGCACATGGTTCGCAAACTATTAGTTATGCATAGAGTTTATAGTAGTATTATTAGTTATATATATAGTTTATATATATA